ATTGATAATCCGTCGCCGGATTCAGAAATATTTCTTCTGCAAAAATATGGCCCATCAGTACCCAAGAAAACACTCTCTATGCTGGTCAATGCTTTTGGCGAGCTGCGTACATTGGCCGATGAAGGTGTACTCAATTACCCTTACTCCACAAGAGAAGTGGTTAATATTGTGAAACATTTGGAAAAATATCCGCACGACTCAATGTCCGAATTGGTTGGCAATGTGCTGGACTTCGACAAATATCAACCCGAGGCTCTGCAACAAGTAACAACAGTACTATCCAAGCATGGCTTACCCATAGAAGCATATGCGCGCAATGAATTGTTTGCATTGCGGCGCAAGAAGGAAATCCAATTGACAGTTGAACGCAAAAGTGGTCTTGACGTTTCTAATCCCAAATACGGCAAAGTTGACCCAAAGAACGAGCCGCATGTAGGCGGCAATACGTGGGCTGGCGGTACTGGCGGTCGCGACACAGCTGGTCTTGGGGGAAAAGGTGGACCTTTTCGCCTGGATGCCGGTCACAAAGTGCGTCAGCTCTCTGATGAAGAGAAAGATGCGATACCGGAAGAGGTAAAACAGGCTGCCCGCGAAATGAATCGCAAAGCATTCGAAGACAAGCTAAAAGAGATTCGTATGTCAGCTCATGATCATAAGTTATACGCACAATTCAGCGAGCCGATTCGGAAGCAAGTGCAGCAGCTCAAAGCAGTTTTAGAAGCTATGCAGACGAAGAGTAATGAAAGACAATGGCAAAAATACCAAACACATGGGGAGTTAGATGACACACGCTTGATAGAGGGTATTACTGGAGAAAAGAATATCTATAGGAGACGTGCTGAGGCTAATCCGTGGGCGGATCATATTCAGGAGAAGCCCAATAGGTTGAAGTTGGTAGTGGATGTGTCGGGCTCCATGTACAGGTAAATGCTTACCCACTTTTTCACTCAATATTGACAGTCACTTGCATCCTATTCTCTCTGCTTCCAGATTTAATGGTTACGATGGCCGTTTGGATCGCGAGCTCGAAGCCGTCGTAATGGTCATGGAAGCATTCGAGGGCTTTGAAAAGAAAATTGTGTATGATATCGTTGGTCATAGCGGCGAGGGTTGGGAAATACCATTTGTCAACGCTGGTAGCCCGCCAAAAACAGATAAAGAACGTTTCGAAACAATTCGTATGATGCATGCACATTCCCAATTCTGCTGGTCTGGCGACAGTACTGTAAAGGCTATTAAAGAAGCTGTGAATACATTGTCAACTGAGAACTATGACAACTCAATCGTTGTAGTGCTTAGCGATGCGAACTTATCACGTTATGGCATACAGCCAAAAGAGCTGGGGAAAGCTCTTATGAATGGTGAACCGAAAGTGAAAGGACATATGTTATTCATTGGCAGTTTAGAGGAGGAGGCTGATGAGTATGCTCAGACAAATTTGGTCCTTATGCAAGAATCTTTAAAATTTTTGTCCGTTTAATTTCAGAATCAATGCTCAAATGCCGGCAGGGCATAGTTATGTTTGCATGGACTTAACGAAATTGCCACAAATTCTGAAACAGATTTTCACTTCATCATTGCTGTGAGGTAGTTAAGAAATGTTTATCTTAAATGGGAATTATTTTTTAAGTCAAAAGTCAATGAATCTGTACAGTTTTTTAATGTGTAATACAAGTATATGTGTCTAAAAAAGCATGTATGTATTTATATATTTTTATAGCCAAAATCTGCATTTATCAATAACTGTTGGTACATTTGTAAGTTCCTAGCTGATACAAAATAAAATTGGGCCAGCTCCAAAATCATACCAAATTAAAAACAATGGGGCGTATTCTTGTTTTCGTACGAATCG